AGAGTGGAGATATCTCTTTTTTTCTACTGCTTTACTACTGGGCTAAAGCAGTTCTATTCTAATCATCCATTCATTCATAAGCTTATAAATAAAACACTTATTGAGTGACTTTTATATTTTAAGCTCTATGCTAGGCCCTGGGGCTACAGAGATGCAAAGAAATTTTCAGTGTCTAATGGAAGAGACAAACACACAAAATATGTATAGTATAGCTTGATAAGTGCTATATACAGTAGTATACATTGTGAACTATAAAATTATTACAGATGGGGACCAAACTCAGCCCAGAAAAGCTTCTCAGGCAAAGACAAAGATGGAATAATGGATAGATTTGTTCTACTTAGTTCTTTGAAGGAAGGAATATGAAAGCTGTAAATAGGCAATCAAAGTAATAGAAAACATTGTAATTCTGTAGCTGTCTGTGTTCTCTGTCCAACCTCATTTGGGTTTTTAAAGGCTGATGAAGAATGATACACATATACCAGTTCTCCTGGGCTTACAGGTGATCTACTGCCAGCACCATATAACCTTCAGAGATCAATCACTGAGTTTCTTTGGCTTTTATAATCTGTTGTTTGTTTCCAGATTAACAAAGAAAGACAAGCCTGAGCTTTTTCAAATTTAGGCTTCTTACCAATCTTGAAATGGCTGGGTAGGCAGTAAAGAAAAATGATCTAAGATGTTTTGGTTAATTCTATAGAATCTTCACTGATATAATCAGGGTGTTATTAATGACTACAGGAGATTAATGCAATTAATATCAGTTATATTATTATTATATTATGAAATTATGTGTTTGATATATCTGTTTATTAGACTGAAACTGCCTTATTGTGCTTAAATGAGAAATCTTTATGTAATTTAAGCACAAAATCAAATAATCTGAAATAATTCCTCTCTGACAGTAGTAAATTTTGATGTGCTAGAAGCCAAGGATATTAATATGAACTATTTAAAAGATATATACACAATTCTTCTAAAAATTCATTCTTAAAATTTATGAAAACTTTCTATCTGAAGAGCCAATGCCAAAAGAATGATTTTAGATAGCAAAATGCTAAAATATAAATTTTTGAACAAAAATATGTCACTGAACATCTTAAAAATTTGTTTTCCTCTCAGAGTTTCTATTTATTGTCTGGCACTATGTTCCTCAAATAGTTTTCCTCAGTTAAGGAATTTTGAGTACTTTGAATTGATATTCATTAGAAAAATGACCAATTTTCTAATGAATTTCAAACGTTTGTTCCTAACTGTTGTTCTATAAACTAAAAAAAAATACCTACTCAGAAGGAAGGTTGGGCGATCTACTTCCGTAGTGATACCGCCTCAGAAACCCAAGGAGGGGTTGCTGTGAGTTGGGTCCGACTCGATGGCACATACCAACAACAACTGCCATGAGTGGATTCTGATTGATAGTGACCCTATAGCACATAATAGAACTGCCCTATAGAGTTTCCAAGGCTATAAATCTTCACAGAAGCAGACTGCCTTACCTTTCTCCCACAAAGCAACTGGTGGGTTCAAACTACCGACTTTTTGGTTAGCAGCCAAGCTTTTGACCATTGTACCACCAAGGGTTTTATAGTGTGCCTTTTTTCTACACTTATAACTGAAACTAGGACATTAAAATAGCAGTCTCATGGTCATTGAGTCTAAGATGAAACCTTGCCTTTCTTCCCAAACTATCTTCATATATAACTATTAAATCCTTTACTTAGTCTTTAAAAATAATGTCATCTTGCTGATGAAGGTCTGCATTCTGACCATTGAATGTTTTCATGTAGAATGTACTTAATCAGATTTTCTGGAAAAAAAGAAAAGATTAATTAACATAGTGAACAAATGAACACACGAGTCTTTCCATTTTCCTTCTTTTTTTTACCTACCTACACCTGCCAAATCCAGTTATTCAATTTTCTGAATTTTTCTTGTGAGGCATTCTCCATGGCACTGACTTGTTTTTGCTCATTGCCTCTCACATGGATAATTTAAAATAGAATCTAACTGTTGCCTTACCTTCATTTTCTCCCTTCACGACTCCATCTTATAGACTCTATTTCCAGTCCAGAATCCTTGAGTTTCTGCTTTCAATTGAATAACATCCAAAGTCCCTACCCTAGCATTAAGGCTCTTCATACCATGACCTCAGATGACTTTTTCATATTCAATTTTTATTTCTTCTTATATGTTCTCTCTGCTCCATCCAGTGTTAGCTACTTTTTCCTCTTTCTAAAATGTGTACCTATTTCTTTTTATTTTGAAACCCTATGTAAATGAATAAATCCTAGTTCAAATAACACTTTCATCATAAAGTCTTTTATCTTTCTTACCCTGTCAAAATGCTATTTCCATTTTTCTGGATTGAAATGACCTGAACAGTTCTCCCTTAAGACAACTATGTATCTCATTTTTGCTTGAAAAGTCTTAGTCATCTTTATATTCTCTATTTCCCCAGCATATGGTAAATGTAGGAAAGCAATAATATTTTCTCATAGAGTAAATAATTGAAAAATGAAAAATCATTCTTAAGTCTTCAACCAAGACCTTTCCTAGTTATTATGTACTGCCTCAGAAACCCAAGCAGGGGACGCTATGAGTCGGGTCTGACTCATTAGCACATAACAACAACAACAACATGAATATCTAGTGCAAATTACTGCAATTATAATATAATTAGGTCAAACACCAAACTCACTGCCGTTGAGTCAAATCTGACTCATAACGACCCCTCCTTGGGTTTCCGAGGCAGTATTTCCACAGAAGTAGATTGCCCAATCTTCCTTCCAAGGAGTGGCTGGTGGGTTTGAACTGCCAGCCTTCTGGTTAGCAGTCAGATGCCTTGGGCACTATGCTACCAGAGCTCCCAATTAGATTTCTTAAATATTCATTCATCAGGTGACTTGCCATGTAAGTGTATAGCCTGATCAAAACAGTTAATCTCTTGGATATATTTTCCTTTAGCAACCTTAAATTTTTCTACAAAGTAATCATTGTTATTAGAGACCTTGTATAATAAAAATCTCTGTCACATCAAGAAAATGTAGATGGTTAAGAGTAACCAGTATATACAGTGATTGAGAAGAATGATACTGCTAGTGATTTTTGATAAAAGATCTTTTTATTTTATTTTTTTAAGATGATGGTTACTAGTAAGTTTTTCAGAAAAGTTTGGGCAAAAGTACCCATACTGAAGGTTTTTGTAAATGAATACATGAGTAAGAAATGAATGCATACTAGGTTTTGTTGTTGTTGTTATTTGCCGTCGAGTCAGCCTGACTCATAGCGACCCCTCCTTGGGTTTCCGAGGCAGTATCACTACGGAAGTAGGATTGCCCAACCTTCCTTCCGAGGAATGGCTGGGTTTGTTTGAACTGCCAGCTTTCTGGTTAGCAGTCAAGTGCCTTAGGCACTATGCTACCAGAGCTCCTAAAGAAGTGAGAGCCATGACAAAAACAAATATATGCACACCTATGTTCATCGCAGCACTATTTACAATAGCCAAAAGATGGAAACAACCTAGGTGTCCATCAAATGAGGAATGGATAACCAAACTATGGTACATACACACAATGGAATACTATGCAATGCTAAAGAATAATGTAGAATCTGCAAAACACCACATAACATGGATGAACTTAGAAGACATTAAGCTAGTGAAATAAGTCAATCACAAAAGGACAAATATTGCATTAGTCCATTATTGTAAAAGTTAAGGAAAGGTTTATGTGAAGAAGGAAATTTTCTTTGTTGGTTACCAGGGGTGGGAGGGAAGGGGAGGGAAGGATGTTAAATAGATAGAGATAAGTATTGATTTGGGTGAAGAGAAGGGCAATGTACCAAATGTGAGTGACCAGTATGGCAGCATTGAAGAAGAGAAAGACATAGAGAGGTACATGGGAGGCACAGACAAAAAGATGAACCCTTTTGCACATACAGTACCGCATTGTAAGTGAAGGCAAACATGGGTATATGGATGGATAGATGGGTGGACAGGCTAAACGATTAGGTATGTCTTTGAAATGGGAGTGTATCCAAGATCATATATAGGGTTGGCAGACAATGGTCCTATAAGTTTATGTGAATGATCAGAATTCCCAGGTGTATAG